ACCTGGCACCCTGAGGACAGGGCCATCCTTGGACATCAGGGTTATGTGTAAGATGTGGGGTGAGAACGTGTGAAGCCAGCTGTAACAAGCACTGCTGCCTGGTGGGTGCAGGTAACCCAAAGCATTAGACTGTGGATTTGGGGTATGTAACTGGCTTGCTCACCTTATAGTCTGCTAACTTAAAGGTAGGACCTTGCTTTTCCAGGTGCTGTTGACTTTCTTGTTAGATCCTTGCAGTGACTTATGGGAAGGCAGAGCTAAAGTGTTGTCTACAATTTACATTTAGAGGATGTTGGGGCCCAGAGCATAAAGATGACCTGTGCCAGGCCACCTGGCATGACTAGAACCCTGCTGGGTTCAGTGCCCTTTTTTTTGCTGCTTCCAATCAGACTGGTTGTGCTTCTGAGCTCCAAGGTCATACATGTTGCCTACAGTGCAATAAGGTCATGATCAAAGTATGATTTACTGAGTTACATACATGAATTTCCTTTGTATGGCAAACAAAGTTTCATGGTTCTTAGAGACAGAATAGCATGCACAGCTGTCCCAGGAAATACTCAGGAGCACAATCCCCACCCAGTGAACTCTATAGTGCTTAAGGATCAGCTGCTTGATCGGGAAACAAGCTTCTCTGGAACATAAACTGTGACTCAGGCCCAAGCAGGACCTCTGTATGGGCAGCTCCTGAAAGAATGTGGCCTGACCAACGCAGCAGAGATTGGCCACTGCATGGCACAGGAGGACCCTTGATGCTAGTGGGCAGTGTGCCATTGGTGGCTTCAAGTCCTGCCCCGGCTCGAGCTGTGGCTTTGCAGGGAAGCAGCCAGCAGTGTAGGGCTGCCATAGCCTAAGCTCTCAAAGCCTTGAGCAAACTTGGGTTTCTCTGCACTTCGAAGTCCAGCAGTAGAGAGCAGTGACTGACTGATGAGTGCGAGTCCACATTTGCTAGGAGTGGGACGAGGGATGGGGTCTGGCAAGATGTCACACGTTCTAAGAGAGTTGGGTCGTGGGGATACATAGTAAAACAGGAATAGCATGTGGCAAGTTGTGCTAGAAACTTCCAAAGCTATCTAACAATGTGGCATGCTGCATCCAGAAGTGTCACAAACAAAGCACTGTTTTTGTTACCAGAAAACAAAAAGAAAGCCCAATTAGAGGCCCTATTCAGCACTTTAGATCTGGAAACTCTGATTTGGCCAGAGCCACATTCACATGGCAGATCCACTGCAGAGTAACCCCAAGGAGCCCAGACCACTGCCCTGTCTCCCCAGATTGGGGGGTTAGGTAGCACTGGACTTGCACTCAGTAGCAGTGATATGGGGAAATTAGGCATTGTAGCTATGTCCCTTCACCTGTCTGCTTGATGTGCCTACCACCTACAGCTGAAGTACACCTGTATTTCATCCAGTATTTCAATCCAGGAGGGAGGAGATGCCACAATGACTACACGAAAACTAAATTCCACCTGAAGTGCCATAAAAGAGAGCTCCATGCGGGTAAAGATCCCACCATGTTTGCTTATTCAATTAAGTCATCATTGTCCAGAGTGACATTGAGGGAGGAGCCTTTATTCCTTTTTTCTTTTTTCCTGACTACACTTGGGAATCTTGCTCTGGCTTCCTCTCCCTTTCCCCTTCTTCACAGTTGTTTCTCTGGTTCCAACACTTGGGGGTGGTCTACACTCATGTGAATGTATTTTCTCTCTCACTTATAAATCAGTTCTGCCTTCACGGACGCCCCATATTATGCTTCTGCTCTGAAGTCTTACCTTTGTCAGGGACAAGAACCTGTGGCAAAGGTTATGATATCCAGGGAGTTGGGTGCCTCACATCCCCATGGATGAGTGTTCAAGGTCCATGGTGAAGACCTTGGCAGCTGCTCCTCTGTGTCTTCCCAGGAGTTTGTCCAAGCTGCATATCCAGTGGAAGGACATAACGTCCAGAAAAGGATGTGGGAGGAGACAGCAGGGTCCTGCCTTCCCTTCCTTGGGGCCCACTCTGCACCCCTAGAGCAGATGGCCAGCCCTGCACCTGTGACTAGACACAGGGCATGCCAGGTCACCCAGAGCCTGAGTGTGGATAGGGTGTCCAGCAGCAAGGAATTTTCTCCAACTAGCTTCCTCCTTCAACAGCTGTGCACATTTATTTTCCACCAAGTCACCATCTTAAAAAAAAAAAGAGGTTCTTTTTTTCTCCAAAAGATTTCTTTCTTTATTTTGAAAGTCAATTACACAGGCAGAGAGGGAGAGATAAAGAGGAATCTTCCATCCACTGCTTTACTTCCCTAAAAGCCACAATAGCCAGGGGTGGGCCAGGTGAAAGCAGGGTGTTAAGGGTTCATCTGAGTTTCCCATGTGGATGGCAGAAGCCCAAATACTGGAGCCATCTCCTGCTGCTTTTCCCAGGCCATGAGCAGGGAACTGAAGCTGGATTGGAAGTGGAGCAGCTAGGACACAAACCACTGCCCTTTTGAGATGCTGACACCACAGAGGCTGTACTCAGCCCAGAAGAGAGGTTCTTGTCTTACCATAAGAGAAGGATTCCAGGAGTGATACAGACAGATGACAGGCGATTCAGCAATGCTTAGTGAGGCAGTACACCCATCAGAACACACATATGTCTTGCTTAAGGGATCTGGGAGAGAGAGCTCAGCCATATAGGCTGGGGCAAGCAAGGTTACAAAGTTGGATGGAGAGCATACACCTGACAGGCCAGGTGAGCACTTACCAAAGAACCGAGAGCTGGGTGTGTGTCTTCAGGCCTGAGCTTAGAAGGGAATGGGGCTCAGGTCTTCCCGCATCTTCCCCTTTCCTAACTCCTCGTCCTAGACAAAGGGTTTGTTGCAGGAAACAGGTGAAATTCCTCCCAAGGCTTTATTATCGGTGTTATCAGATGGGGTAACCCACCTGGCTCCAGACAGAAGAGATTCTCTTGGGGGGCTTTCCTGGGGGAAAGGGAAGGCTTGGACAGGCTATGAGGTTATCTGAGTAAGGGCAGGGCTTTCTAATATAAAATGCTGGGCTGCTTCCAAAGCCAGCTGAGGCCGCTACCTTCCTTTCTTGATTTGATTTGCTTGATTAGCTTAGGCCCCGTTCACACACATACAAAGACTAATTTCTATCTTTTTACCGTCATGGTTCCTCTCTGCTAGTCTAGAAAGTAGAGTGCAATCAGCTCTCCTCCTGACCAGGGAGTAGGACTGCTACCCATGGCCCCCAGCCATATCCTAGCTATTATACCTCAGTTCCACTCACCACCTCCACCTGTTCCCTAACCCATGGTTGTCATGCTCTTTTGCCTGGAAATCCACAGGGGCTGCCATTTCCTAGCTGGCCTCTCAAGCTGCAGTCTCAGTAGGTTTAGAATCAGTCTTGGTGGAACCTTCCCTGTGTAGCATCTTCCCTACCTGGGTCATCCTGTGCCGCGACACTCTTGCCTTTGGTGCTTCAAGAAGGCAGATAATAGTGTTTATTGAGGACAGTATTTCCCAGGGATGCAGGCAGAGGGGCACCTCCACTTTCCTCACTGACCAGTGCCTGGCACAGAGCTAAGTGTGACAAGAGTTTGCAGGATCTGCTCTCCTCTCTCTGAATTCTTTTGCCAACAAAGGGGTGCCCTGCCAAGAATGTGAGTTCAAAGTCAGAGATGGGTCAGATGGTGATAAAAAGTTTATTCAGGATCAAAGAGCCGAGGTCCTGGCCCCAGGCTCTGCTCTCTCACTCTGTGCCCACACTTGTGGTGCTGGGTGGCTCCTGCTGCCGCTACCAGTCATCTTTCCCATCCTTGCTACCACCACTGCTTATCTACCATGCCCTGCTTTGGCAGGTCCTTCCATCCAGCTGCTTCTTCCACCCTCACCACAATGCTGCTTTCTGGGGTTACCTGGGGCTCACTGACATTCATGCAGGAAGTCTGGAGACAGCCTGGCATGGCACTACCAGTTAGACAAGACCCAAGGCAGTGAGACTGCTATGAAGGCATGGGATGAAACACATTTTGGGGACACACTGACCTTCTGAGATGATTGGGGCAGGTGGGCCTTGATGAAGAAAATCCTTCCCTGACATAGATCCAAGGTGTGCATGGGTGGAACCCGTGGTGGCAGCTGATCAGGGCTCTGCACTGGACTCAGAATCCCACCTGGGGAGCTCTCATCAGTGCCCAGGTCTTTCCCAGGAAGAACTCCAACAAGAGATGACACACTGACTACACAACATCCCTGGACACCACACCAAGAACCAGGGTCACCAGTGGTCTCAGTTCAACCAGTATCATCACAGGGAGGCTGCATCATCCAGGGCTTCTCTGTGACACTGCAAGGTGATCAAGGGGACTTGGACGGGAGGTGGGATCTGGCATGGTGCTATAACAGGTAAGCTTTCATCTACAATGGGGGCACCTCATGTGGGCACTGGTTCCTGTCCCAGCTGCTGGCCTGGGAAAAGCAGTGGAGGATGGCTCAAGTACTTGGGCCCCTGCCTGGATCAAGTTCCTTGCTCCTGGCTTTATCCTGACCATTATGGCCATTTGGAGCAGGAACTAGTGGAGAGAACACCTCTCTGTTGTCCTCTCTCTGCAAATTTTCATTTCAAATAAATAAAATATATCTTGAATAAATGCTCATATTTTAAAAAAATGAAAGGATGTGACTGCCAGTTCTGATGGGGCTGCTGTCCACTCAGCGTCTCAGCAGTCGACACCTGCTACTGCACTATAACATGAGGGGTAGGACCAAGGGAGCTGATGGGGCTGGACCCTCACACTCAGGTTTTGTTGAGAATCACTCTTTCTTGGGTAAGAGGCTTCATTGAGCTGGGGACAGAGAATGGGGCATGATAGGAACTCAATGGCAGGAAACCCAAACACAGGCAAATGCTCCCGGAGTTTTTGAATGATCCATTCCCCAGTGTCCTCCCTTTCCCCAGACGGCAGTTGATGTCAGATACAGATGGTGGCAGCAGAGAGAATGCTGGGTGGGTTTTATTGATGTAAACAGGGAAATCACAGAGCGCCTGGAGATACACAGGGCATGAGGGTCAGCAGGACATCTTCTTTCACAACTTCCTCACTGCAGAAGTCGTACCTGTGGACACAAACGGGGCTCTAAGGGTCTGAGCCTTCTTAAGAAAAATGTAACTTCTCAGTTACAACTCAAAAGGAACAAGGAAGGCTGTGCAGTTGTAGCTTCTGAGGGTTGTAGCAGTCTGAGGGTTCCCACATGGGCCCCAGGACAAGGTGCTGTTGCTCTGGCTTGGGCCCTGTCACCTGTCCTATGTCCAACGCAACTGGGGGATCCTGAGGGTGCTACTCCCAGGTGCAGGGCAGCCTTAGAGGACAGGGGTTGATTCACAGGTGGACCTTCTTCCTGCAGCCCCACAGGAGACCCCATTGAATGTTATAGGAGCTACCGGACTGAGTTTTAGCTGATCCACTGAGCTCTGTCTGGCCTGGCCTTTCTGTGGTAGGGTCAAAAGTCAAAGCTTCCTTGACCTTGTGGTTTGGATCTGGAGTTGGGAGAACTGGCTCCATCTGAGTGTACCCACCCATCTTCTAGCCACAGCACGGGGCTGTTTACCTAAAGACTTTCAGCACTGGTATCTTTATTTGTAGAAGGGGGTGTTCTATGGAATACCCCACCACATTAGATGTGAAAAAGCTTTGCAATTAACAAAAGAGGCACTCGTAAGGGGTTGTTAAACTGGCGGCTGGATAACCAGACTTTCCTTGAGCCTCACTACCTTTGGGCTCCAGAACTTGTCCTAGTTCTTCATTTATCTTCACATCTCCACTTCTACCGTTTCTTTTGTGTTTCATTCATCTTCCCTGATGGCCCTAACCTGGCATCAAGGCCCCAGGCACATTCCTTTGCACCTTGAGCTCAGTGTCAGGGTCCAACCTCCATCAGCCCCTTGCCTGTCCCACACCGTCACATGCCCCGCCCCTTCTAACTACTGTCCTCTCACTGGAGGATTCAGGTGTAGCTGTTGGGCTCCAGACCTCAAAGGTGGCCTCAAGCATGTGTGTTTCAAGAAAATCTGTTTTCCTTGAAATACCCAGCAGGTGCTAGCCATGGCTGACTTGGTCTTATATGGGTTACCTATGAGAATTCCTTTCCTGGTAACTTCTCTTATTTTTAAGAATCCAATAATATCACCTTGTGATTTTTTCTTAACCACTCAGTTGCTGGATCCAGACTTCAGGGTATCCCTAAGGGGTCCCCATGGAGCTGATTTTAGAGGTATGGTGTTCTCCAAAGGAGACATGATAGTAAGGGGTCTTGTTTGGGCCTCCGGCCCTGCCATTCCCGCCTCATAGGGAGGAGAACCTACAGAGTCATCCAGCCTGGTGACTCACGGCTGTGTCTTGGGGCAGCCTCCCTGCTACTGTGCCAACCAAGCAAGTATCACTCCCCAGAGTCTGAGGCCAGGAGCCTCACCTATCCCTAAACACGGTGGCTGAGAGCCCAGATTGTTTCCCACCAGGCCACTCCAGCCATGCCTGAGCTCTATTGCCTTCTGGGTCTTTCCACTTTCCTGCAGGGTCAGCTTGCCCTGCTCAAGGCCCTGTGCTGGTTCAGAAACAGATCAAGAGAGGCCACCAGGAGGATTCAGATCCCACAAGCCTCCTCAGTGCCCTCTTGTGCTATCTCACATTTTCTATCTTCTCCTAAAATTATCCTGAGATGTTATTGGTCCACTCTACTCTCTAACACACACTTCTGACCTTGGACTTTCAGGAATGAGTTTCTTGTTTCTCTTTCTTATTTATTCCCATTTTTTGTTTTTGCTTTTTTTCCTTTGAAGGTCAGGTCACATATTCTGTATCACCATAGGCTATGCTGAGAACCCATGTAACAGTTTACACAACAGAAACACACATATCCTCCAACCAAATCAGCCAAGGTACATACACTGTCCTGTCTTCTCCCTTTTGCACAGTGATCTTGGCTGCACCCACTCTGGGGAAGGTTGGGTTTACCACGTAGTTATTCCAAAGAAACTTGACTTTCTCAATTGTTCCGACATCAAGCTCTGTGTCAAACTCCATTGAATGGGTGGAACCTGGTTGGATGATCCCCCTGAAACAGAGAAAGAAACCCCCTTCCTGGAGACAAGGTCTCAGGATCCTAGAAAGCTGTGCTGCTTTTCTCTAGCTTGTATGGTTGAGATTACTTTTCCAACTTAATCCTCAAATGGAAGATAGAGACATGGAAGTCACCTATGTGCTGGCAGCTCCCAAACTCTGATTTAAGCTTTGCTTTTCAAACTTAAGTGAATTTCTACTCAAAACTTTATTGCAGAAAATGATATAATTCTTTTATATTATTGTTTGGGAAATTCATTATTTGTGCAGTAATAATTTAGCTACTTGATTTAACAAGGCAATCATGTGTTATTGTGCTAATTGGAAAACAGGATCCATGGGATAAGGGCAGATTTTTTTTTCAATCTGTTCTGTTGAAAGAGAAACAGCCAAATACCTGGGTATATAATAGAGAAAAATAAACTCACTGGCAGAATTCTGCAATTAACTTCATTTAAATAATTTTAAAACCATCAATATAAAGCAGGTAATAGCAGGTTAAGTGTATGGTTTCAAGGTCGTGTGAATCATTAGATTAAAGATGGGAACTGAATTCTGCAAATAGTGCTTACCTGAAGACATCGTACTGGCGAGTGTTTCCTTTACTTCCAAACAAGGCAATTTTGATTTGACCAGTGGCTGTTCTTCCACTCAGTGTTATGGAAATGCCGTACCTCCAGCCTACATAGAGGATGGAAGAGACCAATTTATTACACACAAAGAGGTAAAACAGATCCAAGATTCCTGTTCCTCACATGGAGGCTTAGGGTGTGAGAAATTCTACTTGTTAATTTACAACTCAAGCCAGGCCGCAGGGGGAAATACATATCCAGCAGGGCGCCTTGCAGACATCCTATGCCTTCTAAGTGGGTGACTAGTCAGAGGTGCACCCTACACCTAAATCAAATTGGGACTTGGCAAAAAAATTAGTTTCTCAGGTTCATAAGCAACACTACATATACTGAGTGACACAATATGGGGAAATGTTCTGGACAGGGCATACCACACTTTCATTACAGAAAGTTCTGCTAGACAGCTCCACTCTGGCAGGGCTGGGAATTGGGGGAGAAGAGGAAGAGCAGGGCCAGCCTCTTCATTCAGGAGGATGACACAGGAGTACAATCTGGCCAGTGCCTTGAGAACAGGGGCTCTCTCTCAAGTCTGTGTTCCCAGGACCCCAGCAAGACTCTAGCACAACATAGGAGCATGGTTATTCATTGTCTAGACTTCTGCCTACATGTAGTATTTCAGTGCCCACAAACACATGCAAACCTGCACAACACCATTCAAGTCTATACTTGCAAACCAATGTACACACACACACACACCTACATACATGCAGCTACATACTCACATTAAATGGTGCAAAGATACAACCTTGCACACACATGCACAACAACACACACAGATGCACACACATACACATGCTCACATAAAATATTTTCACATTTATGTATGTAAGATGCCCCTCCCTCCCACTGGTCAGTGTTGGATCCCTGTTCCATGCCACAGGAGCAATCCATTACGTTTGCCACCTCTGCAACTTCTTGCTCAGTTTCTGTCTTCCTGCCTGATTGTAAATTATGAGTAGAGTGTTATGTTCATCCCTGCATCCTCAGAGTCTGACATAGTCTGGGGACTCATAAATAAAGGCTGGTTGAGGAATGCATATATGGTGTTGGAATGTTTAATTCATTTTGTCATGCATCACTACATTAGTGGAAGGATTGATCAACCAGTGTCATTTTGTAAAAAAATATATCTACATTGTGATAGAAATAGTCTGTGTCAGATTGTGGTGATGGTGACACAACTATTCATTTGTCAAAGCTCATAGAATTATACACTCAAAGGGGGTGAATTCTACAGCATATAAATTATACCACAATAAATTGGACTCAAGGAAATTATATGAGACATACATTATGCTTATGAATTTCTATTTGTATGTTTATATAAATGTACAGTGTCTAGTTTGGCTAGGCCACAACTTCTGGAACTGCCATAGGGAAGCTGATATATGAAGTGGCCCAAACGTGCCTGGTCTTGGTCTCTTGTCCCAGTACATTCATTAGGTTTTGGAGAGAAGTCAACCTCTCCTCCTGTTTTTTTCTCGCCCCCTCCAGAGAAGCAGTCACATGAGGGATGCATGGACAAAGAGGGAAGCCTACAGACTGGAGCTGGGTTTGTTGAGGAGCCCAGCAAAGAGCTGCTGCATAATGAGCTTTGCTGAGTGAATTTTAAACATGAAAGGGATTTTAAACATGAAAGGACCAATGGGCTGTAGAGTGGCAGAGATTCAAGGAGGCTGGTCTCAACAGCAATTGCTATAATCCCATTCATTTATACTATTCTCTTCTTCCCATTTAATGCCATAGATATAAAATGATAGGAAGGTGGACTCTTTCTAAATGTTCAGTTGACTCTGAAGTGGGATATTGGGTGGATGTGTTCATTTTTAAGCTAATCAGCCTGTACCCACAAATATTGCAGGAACGAGCAAGCCCTTCATTTGTAAAAGAAACTATACCTCCTTCATTTACCTGGGTGGATGTTCAAAGTGCCACTTACGTGCAAAATTCCTGGCAACTCCAGTGTTCAGGAAGAATTTCTGCTGCTCGACCTGTGTTTTGTTGGGGAACTTATCAGCATAGTGGCCCATCTGAGGACACCCTTGAGCCGGACAGGGGAAGCACTTGTTCTAGCGAGAAGAGATAGATGGAGATGTTGTTTTTTAGAACCCGTGTGTCCATGGCAATAGACAATTTTTCCACATATTGAGCTTCTTTGTTTGTGATAGGAAGAACACTGGAATAGATGATCTCTAGACTGTCTTCATTTTAGCCAAGGATCCCAAATCCAACTCACAAAACAGTACATTTATTTTCGGGAAGCTTTAAAAGCTGCTGATGTCAAGGATCCAGGTTAGATCAACTACACCTTCCATACAGTCATGAGCAGCTGACACCACAGGACAGAAAGCCTGATCACAGTGCTGCCAATTCCTGTGGTGTGAATACTCCAGGCATGTCAGTTACAGGCTACCTACATGATGTCACTGAATGTGAGGAAGAGGACAAAATTACACACTGGTTCACATGAGCCAGAAAAGACAGGGTGCATGGGATCATTTCTTCCATGTCTCTTCTTGTTATTATTCTGGCACAGCCCCTCAGCCACTTTCCCTTTTTGTGGATGTGTGAATTCTTCTCCCACATGTTCTTACATGCATGTTCTGCCTGACACATGTTAAGCAAGACATGTGTGCTCCTTCCTTGTAAGCTATCATTTCCCAAGCCACATCTAAACGCTGTCCCCTGCAGGAAACCTTTCTAGATCATGTGCCAATTGCTCTATTCAATTTCCTGGTCTTATTTCCCAAGAGACTCAGAATTTTAGCCACCCTATATCTACTGCTTCTTAAAATTTTCCTTTTGCCTTCCATGGGATCATAAACTCTCAAGGGCAACCAACGCATGACACACGAATTCCAAACACCAGAGGACCACAGCCCCACTGTGTGGCTGTGTCCCTGGTCCAAAGCAGGGTGAGAGCTCACAGATTCAAAGTCCTTGTAGGAAGTGCAGGGATATGCGGTGAACCCATGCGGGTTGAGGATGCTCTCTGCGTAATACTTGTAGCTTCGCAGGTGATTACAAGCCACGAAGTCCCGAGTTCCTAGAGAAGCAAATGAGAACATTGCACAGATGGTCATGGAACTGTGACAGCTTTTCTATTCCTCTGTGGGATGGTTCCAATGTCAGGACTCTATTGTTTAAAAAACTGAACATAAGTTGAACATCCAGCCTTTGTTATGACCATGGATATACAAGCAGTGCTGCTTGAATACCATGTGGTGTTCTGAGCCCTTCATATGTGTTGTCTGAAATCCTTACCTCTCCTGGGAGGTGGGTATCATGTCATCCACGTCTTAGGAAAGATCTATAGATGACAGCATCATATTGGCAGATGACAATAAGTGAGGAAGCTGGCAACCCAAACCCATTCCTCTCATGTCTGAGACATTCCTTCCTCCAGGTAGCAGGCCAAAAGTCCTTGTGCAACTAAACTAGGTGTGGCATAGCCTCCCAGGCACGACAAAGCTCACACAAAGACACTGTGATGCTGCACTAATGAATGTGAGGAGGGGAGGAGGGGTGCCTAGCACCAGGTGGCTTTATGTGAGTATTACTCTCTTAGAGTCTCCAGCCTCCATCCAGCCTTTCTTGGCTCTTTACAACTTCTGCCAAGTGGCAAATGTCACAGCACACCTTTCAAACCTGGCTGAACTTGCATGGTCACTGCCAGTAGATAGTTTAGGTGACTTTTTCCTACGCAGATTCTCATGAGGCTGAAAAAATTTGATCACAATGGCACAAATTCAGTAAAAATAACTGTAAGATTTGATCAGACTGCTGTGGGTTTTAGCTTGTGTGATGCCATATGCAGTGTTTGGCAGAATTCACCTGCCCATGGTCTTTGTGCTCTGATTAGTCACAGTGTGTCTTGACCTGAAGGAAGTCTCTATTCCCAAATGTGCTAGATAAGCAATGAAGAATTTCTACCTCTGACAGCAGTGTCTGCTTTCTCCTTCCTTACCCGTGATTGTTCTTCCTCCCTATACATGGAAATAGTTGGCAGTATTCACATTCTGACCCCCTGAATTGAAGCTAGCTATGTAAGTTTGAGCTAAATTACTGATGCCAAAAGAGGATTGGCAGAAACAGTCTCGTAGGTATAGCGGGATGTTCACTTTTACTTTTCTCCCTGCGCTGTTTGAGTGTTGGAATGGCAGCTTTAAGCTACAGTTTTGTGATTCTTTGCTGCATGTACACTCCAGAACACCCATCTCAATGTGTTAAGGAAGCACAGAATCAGTAGAGCTGAATTGGAAGTATAGGTTTCGAAAACAACGTCCAGAGAGGAGAGTTGCCTGTTTTTCCATCCATCAGCGCTGACATGACCAGGCACTGCTCACCCTGGGCAGTGATTCCCTCCCCTGTCCTCCCACCTGCACCCCAACTTCACCTTCCCAGACGCCATCGATGTTCATGATCTGTGACAGAACATTCTTCTTGCACCCCGGCATGTTCTCTCCTCCATTGGGGAAGAAGTCAAGGTGACCCACCATTTGGTTCATCCCCAAACCTGCAATGTTTGGAATGGCAGTAAGTAGTTATTTGTGATGGGAGCTCTTGTAGTTAAAACACAATTACACATTCTTGCAGCTGGAGCACCATGGGGCTCACCCAAGAAAGGGATCAGGGGTGTTATATCCGTGTGGATCACATCCACAAAGTCAGCATCAGAGGGATCGAGTCGAACTTCCTCAGGAGTGCCCTCGAAACTTGCTGCAACAGGATCTAACCCTAAAAGAGAGAGCTGTCGTTATAGAACAGCAAGCCTGACTGTAGGTGCCCCAGAACCGAGGTGTGCAGCAGGCCAAGCTGTGCATTGCCCAACTCAGGGATGCCCTGCCCCAAAGCTCTACCACGCTACGGCTCTGATGGCTAAGTAGAAGATCACAGAGTTTCAATATTGTGCATCACAGAGGCACCCAGTGACATGTATAGAGGAGGGCAGAGAAATAAAGCGATTTAGATTTTGTTTGTGCAAAGATTTTTCTCCAGATTGGATTCTCCCATTTACTTGCCCATGTTTCTTTTTCAACAGCCTCTTTTCATTTCCCGGTTGGAAGGGGAAATGGGCAAGCAGTGTATATCAGAGTTAGGAAGAAAGGCTGTGAGTTCACTCAGATCTGTTTCCCCATTAGTTACTTTTTGGGCAAGTGGGCTGACCTCAAGCAAGTCACTCCATCTTTTAGTGCCTGGCTCTCCTTATTTTCTCAAATGAGATGATACTGGCATCTACGTTACATGGCTATTGTATATTAAGTGCATTCACCACAGTGGCTTGCATAGTCAGAGGTGTATGGATAATACAGTAATTGCCTCATTTCTACTTGATCATATTTCCTGTTTTGCAGGACTTCTAAATTTATCAAGTTTCTTGAAGGTTTGATCAGAGCAGCTGAAATGGAGATGAATATGAATGTTGTTGTCTTAAAAGGAAAAAAGCCATTTCTTTTAGAATTAGAGAATTGCTTCAGCTAAACTCAAATAAGACCAAGTCCAAATTTCAGATTCAACTCTGACCAAATGGATGACCTTGGGCAAGTTACTTCCTTACCTGAGATGGTTTCTTCAGTTCTGAGAATTAAATAAGAAAACACAATATTTGAGATGAACAAGCATTTAATCTTTGATTATTATGATTACAATAGCATTGCTATTAACCTATTAACTACCAGGGGATGCACTGTCTCACTGCTGGTGTCTTCACAGGTTTTGCTTGGGTTAAACAAATACATTTGCCTGTGATGGAGGCTGAATTTTTTTTTTCTTCCAACAGAGACAGGAGAAAACATAACTTTCAAGTTCTTCTTTGTTCTTGATTTCAAACAGAAAGTTGGAAGGGAATAAAAATACAGCCCCTTTAAACTTAATCTTTGCTCATTTTTGTAGCAACCTGACTGCATGTTCCTGAGCTCCTACTAGTACTGGTTAGCAACCCCACACCAGCAAAAAATGCCAGAACCTAACAAGGAAGGACGAGAAAGTTGGCAGAAGAAGCCAAAGCAGGCAAAGGCACCACCTCCCCTGCACGAAAATAGCTCATGTGAATCCTGGGGACAGCTCCACCCAGCTCTGCCACTGCCAAGGGGCCCCTTTACTTCAAGAAGCTCCAGGCAAGACTGCAGTGTTATGATCATCTTATGAGGTTCCTAGGGACAACACCCGGGGCCTTACCAGTAATCCTGCCCAGGCCTGGGGTTCTGCTCCCTGCCTCCCCAGCCACGTGGGCTCCCAGGCTGTGGCCAATGAGGTGAACTTCAGAAGGTGAGTAGCTGTAGTTTGTCTGGGGAGGAGAAGATTGCATTTTCAGGATACTTTTGCACCCTGGTTTCTCCAGTATGCCACCCTGGTGGGATCAGTTCCACTGCTGAAAACCTTCTGTGCCTCTCATTGGTCTCAGGATGAAAACCAAAGTCTTAGAGCGACTCAGAGCTCAACTGAGTCATCTCCAACTTTTTAAAAATGCTCCTCTAATTAAATTTGTTGTTGAACTTTCAAATCCTCCAATACATCACATTCTTCTCATCAGGTATCTAACCCCCAAACACCTACCCAGCTAAGATCAATCAACACAACCATGACCTTCAGTCCTCTTAGATCGTCTCTTCCTGGTGAGATATCCTTAACCCCTGGCCCCACTCCACTCCTGTTAGTTTGGAATAGTTGTCTTCCCTGTACACTCATGAAACCCATCCTCTGCCAGTTAGAAACTTCCAGTAGGCCACATGCTAGCATCATGGCCAGCCACTACTGCATACTCCTGGAACTTCATTCTCATTGCCCATCTCACACTCCTGATACTGTGCTCCATCCAGAAGTATTGGATGAACAAACACATCCAGCAGATGTGCAAGGCATTTGCACACATTGCTCCCAGAGACAGTCACCCAATGCATCCCACTTATCAGCTTGCAGAGTCTCTTATACAAACATCATGAGTTTTGACTTCTGTGAGAGGCAGGTGGTTAAAGTAGTTAGAAGCAATTGACACTTTTGCAGGCTGTTTTAGGACAGAAATGGTGTGGACCTTGAACTGGTATAGGAAACATAGAAAACAGTCACAAATAATGACTCAAGTGAAAGATTTAACTAAAATAAAAGACCAGGGTAAGAAGACTCAAGAAATAGAATGGTTGTAGTAGAAGAAAAAATTCCTCCACACCAACAGGCCTATGGGGTTGTAATCAGCCAATCACACATTCCAGCATCAGGTCCATTTGGATCCCCGTGGCAATGTCACATTTTGTTTCAGATGATGTCTACCTGGTGGAGTGGCTGGCCCTTGGAGCTGTCTAGTCTGGGCTCAAAAGCCAGTTCTATTCACCAGTCTTATGATTTGGGAGGCAAACTAGTTAATCCTCATGAGCCTCTCTTTCCTTATCTGTGAACTGAAGACGATCATAAGAGCTCCCACTTCCTCGGTGTTAGCTGCTTTTGTGTTTCCTTCCACTACAGTGTCATTATCAAGGCATATTCAGTGTTTTAGTTTTAACCCATTCCTCCCTGCTGCACCTTTCCTCAGCTGAACCTAGTAGTACTGCCTTCCCCCCTGCTGATCCATCCACTCACCGACAGGATGCTGAGCAACTGGGCCACCTGAGCGCCCACCACCCGCACGTTGTTGGCAGCCTGTGTGTAGCTGGTCTGGGAACCCCTCTTCCAATCCACACAGATGCAGTTCACCTCTTCCACTCGGAGCATGTCCTGGTGTTGGGCAGATATAAGATGTCACCATGAGGTCATGGGAATCCCCATCCAACCAGGGCTACTTTCTCTTCTCCAAGCCTGGTGTTGAATGAACTAGACTCTGGCAGGAAATCCTGCAGTTAGGAGGTATTCCCTAGGGCAACCACTTGGAGAAAGGCAAACCCATGGCCTCATAGAATCAAATCTGTCTGCTCTCTAGCTTTCTCTGGTAGAGCCCAGTCAGTTTGATGGGCTTGGGGATGAAGCAATTCCATCATTCAACACGTCCTATCCTGAAAAGGGCAAGGCTTCTGTGTACTCTCTGGTGGTGAGCATCTGAGTGAGCTTGTGCATTTGACCGTGACAAGTTTGGCCTCTTGACAGTCCTCCAAGCCCAAGAAATGCCCAACAGAGTGGAAGAGGGTGGAAAGCTTTTCTATTTTTGCATTCCAATTGACACAGCATTTCATGGAAGAAGCATGCTCTGAACATTAGAACTACAGCAATTTAAAACTAACTGGAGGGTTCCAAAAGGAAAATTTCCCAATGGTCAAGGAACAGGATTCAGACAGGCAACAGACAACCCAGTTGTAATTAAAAATGATGCTCAAAAAGTACCACCCAGCTGGGGACTTTCCACAGAGGCAGCATGAATATGTGTGATTCAATGCATAACGGTCCTAAGAGAATTTTTTTTTCCCCCAGAATTTTTATTCTAGAATCTGTTGCTAACCTGGAGAATCTGAGACATTCACTCTATCTCTAGGATACTTTTTCAATGACAGATCAAGAGAGGTGCCAAGTGTTAAACATGCCAAATGACCTTGGCTTTCAGGATTGGTGGCTTTTCCTACTGACATTGTCCATTGAGGTTGTTATCAACATATGTGTGCAAGCAGGGTGCTGGGGTCCATTTTAGATGACACACAAGAGACTGAATCAGGGTACTCCCGACAGAAGGAATGATGACATGGTGTACCTGCATGTATGCAGCTTGTACATACAGGCACACATGTGTCTGTGTGTACACACATGTGTTCATACGACGGGTATTCTGACCAGAAGATCCTGGGTTGCGTATGATTGTGGCACTTTCTATTCTTTCCTGTCAGTCGCCAGATCAGTCTTGGTTTTCCAAGTCAGGGCAACCCATCTCTGACTCTCGGGGATGTGGGAAAGACTTGTGCAAAAACCCACAAACCCTTGGTTACAGAAGTACAAAGAATTCTCCCTGAGACTGGAAGCAGAATACACTGAGCCTTGATCTAGAGGAGAACCTGTGATATTGGGGTGCTATTTTAAGAAATGAGTAACTGGGGTGTTGGTTCGTGTCACAAATATTGCCTCATGCTGCAAATGCGGTCCAGAAACACAGACCTGCGGAATTTTAGTGGCATAAAGGTGCCTGATATGCACAGATACCCTGTTTGAAAGCCAATGTATGAAATGAGGGATTTGCAGGAAGCCATGGCTGCAACCAGCAGGGCTGCCATCCCCACGGGGCTCCTACCTTGCACATGTCTGCCACCCAGCTCTCATCTGCCTTGTCAATGAAACCGTGAATGATGAACCGGGTCTTCCTGTCTGTTTGAAAATTCGACGCGCCGATTGTTGCTGGATCAGAGAGGGAGAGAATCTGTGACAACACAGAGGTGCAGCAAGTATTTTAAGTCATGTCCTGAAGATTCATCTCTTTTTCCCCATCTCTGCCTGTCCCAAAGCCTGGACTTTTCAAAACTTTGCAAAAAGTCACTTCTTCCATGAATCCCACCCTGACTTCCCCACCCTCCTCCAGCCCCGTGCCAACAGTCACTGCACTGTGGAGTCCAGATTATGGCTTGTGTTCTCCCCTTCTCAGTGGATCATGTTAGACGGTGAACTCTGCCCCAGACTAGAATCACGCAACGAGGCAGAGACTCTGGCTAATGTGAACGATTCACCCATTCACCAAGCCTTGATCTAGGATATCACATAGCGAGAGGTGCAGAGGTTAGCTCTCCTGCCCTGTGATGGTCACAGCCTCTCACCCACTTCTACTGGCATTAAAATGACAGAGGGCTCACCTGCACAGAGTCAGGGCTTTCATTGGTATAGAGCAGGAAGCGAGTACTGATCTTTTCAGGGCTCCAGGGCAGAATTTTCAGGGGTCTGATGGCAGTCCCAGCCCAGGGCTCAGCGTCAGAGAAGCATCCGAGGTCCTCATAGCAAATTTCTTTTCCTAGACTCAAAGGGTGAAACTGCTTAGACAGGCCCTCTGAGGCCCTCTGGGGTGTCACTGTCATCCAGGTCTGGTCACTCTCCTGTCTTGCTAGCCTTCTCCTGGTTCCCATTGACCAGCCTCGAAACAGTCCCATTGGACCTCACGGAGACGCCAATGGTTACTTTGCTTAGGTTCACCATTAAAATCTCAGAGTTGCCAGTCTTATTCATGGCCTGTCTGATGTATTTACTTGAATAATGTGATAATAAATGTTGATCAGTCCACGCATTAGTCCAGGCAGTTATTTAATGCTTTATCCAGAAAAGGCCGGCCTCAGGCATTTGAATGTTAGGGTAGACCTGTGTGAGTGTGTGTAGGGGTGTGCTCCGACATGGGGATCCCCCACTAGCAGACCATCAGCCTTACCCACCTCTCTATAGAAAGCTGGAAGGGCTGGTAACTGCTTGTCCTGGCTTTTTTTGTGACCAGTGCAGGGCTCTTGGGGTTAAGTCCTTCGTGATGGACGACTGTGATCTTTCTTACCTGTGGCTGCTCCCAGCAGGAAGAACGTGAGTGGCCAGTAGAGCTGCATCTATGATAAATGCAAGTGCACTAGGCCTCAGCAAGTCACTGGATGGAGGGGCAAAGGTCCTCAGGAATCCCCTCTCCTCTCTGCCGGGCTGCTGGCAGAGTGGACTGCGCTGCGTACTCTACCACCTCTGATGTTCCAGGGGTGCCCTCCTTCTGCATGGAGCAACCAGGCTGCGTCCTATATACTCCAGCCTTATCATTTGGACGCTACTTCAAGAAACCAGTGGGTGAAGATAGCACTGGCTGTGCGTATTTAGTGTTTTAATCTGGACAAACACCCAAGGTTACTAACAGCAGTCGAATCTTCCCACAAGTCTGAGAAGAGAAAAGAACGCTTGGTTAAAATGGCGAGGAAGGCCACAAACTTTGTACCTATGAGTGGATTTGGGGGTCATGTGGGTCCTCCTGTTCTATTTCTTTTTTTGTCACCAAGTACTTTACAAGTCTCAGCAGAACAGAGAGCAATGTTGCTACATAGCTACAAGTAACAGGAGGCTGATTAAGCATACCTTCTCTCTTTGCCTCTGCCTCTAACATACTCTTTGTCTCTGGCTTTGGCATAGTAGCAGCACCAGGCACATGGGCCCTGGAGGCAAGTCCACTAGTCCACAACAGTCTCTGACCATGCCCTCTCCATGTGCCACCTGTTCCGGGTATCTATTGCTATGCTATGATACAGTCTATGATATGTTGGCTTCAAACAATGACAATTATAGCATTCTCTGACTAATTTTATCAGGGATCTGCCCTTCCCCACAAAGCCTGCCTCATCAGTTTACATCACACTTGTCGCATTTCCCCCAATTCTCTGGAGTTTGCACACCTGCAGGGCAGACTGGGCCCCATCATAACTGACCCACAGTATTGTGCATCTGTGGGCAGACCAGCCAGTTCACACAAAGGGGCAGATAAACCATCACACGGCAAACACTGGGGTATCCCCCTCATGCCCAAGTTAAATATACCTCAATGTCAAAAGGCCTAGAGGCCCCAGGGCTCTCCTGTTGAGAACTTGGAAAGGAAAAATGAAGGCTGGTGAGCAACAGGGAGTGAGGCTTAGCAAGCAGTCACAGGTATTTTATATGTATAACCTATGCCAAGCTGTAGAGCCACCAAATGTTACTATCCCTTATAGATAGTTTCCATATCTGAGGCAGAGAGCAAGGGAGAGAGAGAGGAGAATCACCTACAATGTCCCTCCACTGATGGGTGATGAATTCAGGCTGTACATGTGAAATAAACAGTTGCATAGTTGAAAACGTGTGATGCTGAGTAAATAATCAACAAGATGTACTGAACGTAATCATACTGAATAGGTGTGTGCAAGATGAAGATTTAGCTACTGAGCCATCATGCTGGGCCCCAGCCTAACCTTTAAAACTTAACTCTTCCTATCATTTCTTAGCAGTGTATGTAAACAGCCCCAATCCTCTCACAAGGGCGCAGGGTTCTGGTATCAGAATATTGACTTAATCAGCTCTCTATTGTTGAACATTTGACAGTTTTGCATCTTTCATTGCTAAAAACAATGCCTTAATGGACATGTGTTTGTCATTTTCTACGTGAACGGGGAGATGTGTGCAATGAATTCCTACAAGCAGAATTTAAGGGACAAAGTCACATCTATTTGACACGCTGGTACTTGTCCTCCCTAGCCCATCTACCCCAGATCTTCAGCAGAAATGAAGAAAAGCCCCCTATGCACTGGCCTGGCCCTTCTTTCCATTTCCAAAACAATAGGGGGTTTAAACTTATCTACTTAAGCAAGTATGTTTTTGTATGTGTTTTGAAGATTTATTTTTATTTGAAGGTGTAAGAGAGAGAGAGAGAGTCTTATTTGCTATTTCACTCCTCAAATGGTGGCAATGGCTGCAGCTGGGCAGATCCAAAGCCAAGAGCTTCTTCTGGATCTCCCATGTGGATTCATGGGCCTAAGAATTTGAGCCATCTTCTGCTGCTTTCCCAGGCTCTAAGCAGGGAGTTGGAGCAGCTAGAGCATGAACTGGTGCCCATATGGGATATCGGTGCCACAGGTAGAGACCTAGCCTACTATGCCAATACACTGGCCCCAATTTTTTCCTCTTTCGCTCCAGCACTATCAGCAACAGCTGAGATACAGAGTCAACCAAAGAGCCAACCAGCAGGTGGTTGGATAAACAAAGTGAGATTTACATACACAATGGGATCTTATTCAGCCACGAACAGAGGAAATCTTGCCATCTGGGCAATATTGGTGGAACTGGAGGACATTGTGTCAAGGAAAACAAACAGGTAACATTTTAGAAAGATGTTAGTTATGGTTTCCTTTCATTGTCATAAATCTGTAGTGTTCTGTTACAGCAACAGGAGCTGGGTTAGTACAGGTGCAGGTAATTTATTTCAGGAAGCTCCCTGCCTGTGGCCTGGGAAAGCCCAAAGCTTTGGGACCCTGCACCCGCGTGGGAGACCCGGAAGAGGCTCCTGGCTTCGGATTGGCGTAGCATCGACCGTTGTGCTCACTTGGGGAGTGAATCATCGGACGGAAGATCTTCCTCTCTGTCTCTCCTCTCTGTATATCCGCCTTTCCAATAAAAATAAAATCTATTTCAGGAAGCAGGATTAAAGGAATGGGAAGAAAGAATGAAGGAATACAAGCATCATCCTGGGCAGATTCCAATGGGATTTTGGAATCACATACAGAAAGTCCAGAGTGGCTCACAGGATACAAGGCTTGGGCACTTATCCTTGGCTATTGTGTTTCTCCGCCTTAAAAGTCCTGTGCCACTGGGTTGCCCCTGCAGGCACAAATTAGTCTTTGCTTTAAAGTCCCAGTTGTGCAATATCTATGACTTTGAAAAAGGACTGGAGGCGGAAAGAGCAGAGAGATGACAGGGAAGGGGCACCGTCATTTGTTATGAACTCAATGTGGGTATCTCCCCTGGCTTCTATATGCCTGAGTTCTTAAGTGGGACATCGAAGGAGTCAGGTTGAGTGAGGTCAAAGGCGTCAGATCCTGATCTGACAAGGTTAGTGTCCTCAGAGCAAGAAACATTAGAGCCCAAGTTTTCTCTCTCTCTCTCTCTTGCTGTGAGCATACTTCAAGGAAAGGCTATGTCAACACACAGTGAGAGGAGAGGAATTTCTAGGAGCGTGTGTGTGGCATCCTGGCCTTGGACCTCCAGCCTCCAGAGCTGTGAGATAATAACATCTGCTCTTTAAGCCACCCAGCATTTTGCTATGTCAGCCTGGGCTGACTGATACACAAAAGGACTTGAAAAAGTTCATGAGGAATGGAATTGAAGCATCAATTTGTTGCAAATAATTGGATATCTATGCACATGAGGGGGTCTTGGAACATTTCAAGGAAAAATTAAAAAACTACGTGTTGTTAAGTTCAATGCTATGTGTTGTGTAAACGATTTGTGTCATCTCAAGATATTCAGCCAGTGTGATTTTGCTAGGGAGTATACTTCCGAAAGATTTGACAGGCAGTAGGTACAAGGTCTGAAAAGGAAAACACTAAACAAAATCAGCAAAAGCATAAAGCATCCTAGCTTGAGTCAAGAGCCTTGTCTTAAAGGTAACCAACTAAAAAAACACTGAATGACCCACGACAAAATGAAGCCTATTGTAATCTTGTTCTCTTACACAATTTCTCCATAAGGACTGAGTCGGATACACTCTGTAGTATTAGCAACAGCAAAATCATTTTCATTTGGAATCAATATGTAATCTGGAGTAATTTTACCATTTGATATCCTAGGACTGGTTCGGATTAAGAGAGAATATAAGGAACCACTCTTTCATTTTTTAGAAAGTTGGTTGAGGATGTGACTGAAATTAGTCACAAGGTAGATGACAGATTTCTGAGCTCAAGTTCTGTCAACCTGCAGTATCTATTAATTGGGAAATTATCCGTTATCTTGTCAAGTGAAAAAATTAGGTATGAGCATGGCAAATATTAAGAGGATTCAGATAAAGGTCTCATTATGGTATAGAGACTTGTTCTAATGTCAATTCTCCTCTTGGTTTGCAGTTTAAATGCCTCTGCCTGCAGCATTGCAAAGTTTGGTGCACCCTTTATGGCCCATGCATCAAGGCTTGTCCCTTGAAATTGACATAAATAAGGATTTAGGAAAGAGAATTTCTTGTTTTTGTCAATTCCATGAGGAAAAAAAAATCAGACTAGGAGAACTTAGAAGAATTTGGCATGTTGCCTAGTCAACAGGTATAAAACAAAAAACTCCCAAACAATGACCAGAGTCATAATCTATTAATATCTATTAGTGTGTCTTTCTTTTTTATGATTTACTTATTTTCATTGGAAAATCAGATATACATAGAGGAGGAGAGACAGAGAAAAAGATCCTTTATTCACTGATTCACTCCCCAAGTGACCACAATGTCCTGAGCTGAGTCAATCCAAAGCCAGGAGCCAGGAAACTCTTCTGGGTCTTCCAAGTGGGTGCAGGGTCTCAAGGCTTTGGGCCGTCCTCAACTGCTTTCCCAGGCCACAAGCAGGGAGCTGGATGGGAAGCAGGGCCCACCAGGATTAAAACTGGCAACAGTATGGGATCCTGGGATGTGCAAGGTGAGGACTTTAGCTGCAAGGCTACTGCACCGGGCCCTAGTGTATTTCTTTTGACACAATTTCTCTATCTCTACAGGCATACTGAGTTTTACCAAATATAATTAAAGAAAAACGAATTTTGCAGGTGAATTTAATTTTTTTCCAGATTTGGCTTCACCATTTTACATTAGTGCAGCAAATAAAGCAATTTACTATACAGTTGTCTGATTTAGAAATTGCTGGAGGCAGGAGACCCAAACCAGGCAGATCTTAGCTCGCACCTGTGACGGCTAATCTTTGAGGTCCTTCTGGGAAGTGACAGTGACATTCACAGACTGTAAGGCGGTCTTCACTCATTGGAAGTCAGGTACTGTAAGCCCACTTTCCTAATACACCAATGTTTTCATTTGCAAACTGTTACAAAAAGGAATAGAAATGTATTGAAATTATGC